CAGTGCTTGACTCACCTTACATATTTTATATGTAGAGTGATGAATCATTCCCTTAAAGATCCTGTCTGCCTCATCTGTCTTGTCAAATAACTTAACTCCCCAGCCCAGCGTGGGATGGCTGTCTGCATGCAGCATTTCTATCCCCCTGGCTCTCCCTGGGGGTCACCCAGCTAATTGCCTCTGAAAGTAAACGTGGGCGTTCACGGGGGATTCTCTGCTGCTGGAGCTGCTCTGTGCTGTCAGCAAGAGGAGCAGCGTGCCAGGTTTGGCTGCCTCCTCCCCCAGCAGCCCTCCCGCTCCCCTTAGCAGGCGTTGGCGTGTCCTGCAAAGCCAGGGCTGCAGCACTTTTGAATTGAGGGAAAAACCCCAAACAGTAAGACCACAACAAACTAATATGCTTAAGGCTACAGGTTCTTGAGAGGCACCACAAATAAAATTATGTCCGAGCTCTGTCAATTGTATCTGGGGACAACCTGCTCTCACAAGGGCAAGCCTTCAGGAAATGCAATCTAATAAATTTGCCATGTGGATGTCTGAAGTTTTGCAGCCTGAATCTGAATTCCATGCATTGCCTTTCAAACTGATAAAACCCCTGCAAAATTTCACCCATGAGCAGGTTCTGTTCTGCTGAGTGTGGTTGTACACAGGGTACAGGCAGAATAATTGGAGATGAAGATGTGTATGTAATTTGTTTCTATGGCTGGCAAATATTTATGGTTCTTGATGGAATTTATTGCCACAAATTATTTCCACTCACATTTAGTCCTGCCTCTGATGTAAGAAATTAAATTGTTGCATGATTTAATTAGAGGATTTATTTAAGACATCTGTGAATATACTGACAAGTCTTTTGTTTCTTCTTTGTAAGCAACAGACTGCTTGGCAGGGCAATGGGATTCCCAAATTTTTGTTTACAAAAATAGCTAATATGTTTCTATATTTTAACTGGCTGCTAAAAGGGAAGGAGATTAAAATGGGTGGGGGAGGGGGGGGAGAGCTACTGAGCTAAAAAAGATAGAAATATGGAAAACTTACTAATTCCCTTTCAAATGTAAGCAGAAGGGAAGGGAGGGGTTGGGCTTTTTGAATTAGTGCACTAAAACTAGGATTGGTCTGGAAAGAATTTAATTATTTGTATGTAAGTTTAGGCTGGAAAAGCCAAAAGATCTGGCAGACCTACAATTTTAGACCTGGTATGTGAGCCCTTTGCACATATTGATTTAAATTTTATATTATGACTTCAGATTTTTAGGACAGATTTTAAATTACACTCCTTTAAAAATATATCACATATATACTACAGGTTATTAAGGGATTATCAAATGACTATCACAGATGGCTATGAGGGGGAAAAAATCTAAGAAAAAGTGGTCTCCAGAGGGAAGTCTCTGCAGATTACTGTGAGATTGGTCTGAAGGAAACATCAGTCCTTATCCCTAAGTGTGAAGTGCCTAGAAGAAAAATCAGACCTTCAAATGCATCCTAGTTTTCCTAACAAAGCAATGGTATTACTTTAAAATTTTCTTTTCTCTGTGGTTAACTCATGTGGTGAAAATTTAGACACCAGTCTGAATAACAGTTTCTGAATATCCATTACCCTTCAGGAGCAGCTGAAGTCAGTGTCTGATCAGTGCTTGTGATAAAGTCTTGCTGACGATTGATTTTTCTTACAATGTTAATTTCAATTGATGTGTCTATAAGTGAAGCTATATACAGACGGATACATTAAGATATTCAGTATGATTTTTTTTAAGTGGCATTGTAACTTTCTAGGTACTGTCATGTCTTTATATTGTGGAATATGGATATGTTGATGTTTGGGAAAAACAGTAATGGTTGGATGAACCCTTACCCTAGGGAGAGAGCACAGCTATGGTGATAGGCAAAAATGCACATTGTCTGCATTCATTTTCTGGCTCCTCTTGGGCAGCTTTTGGGGAAGTCTGTCTGAATTTCATATCCAGGGCTGTATAATCTGGGCTGTAATAGCTCCTCTGCTCCTTTGCTGTAAAGCCCTCTGTGAAAGGAGCTGATCCTCAGCCTGGTTGTTCAGCAGCCACAGGGATCTGTTCTCGGTCATTCTAGAGATTTCCACTATACACTTGAGAAAGTCCAAATCATGATACCACAGTCAGGTTCACTCTGAGTAAACAAAATTGCAAAGCCAAGACAGAGGGAAGACTCCTAAAATAAGGATCATTTTTTATCAGGGATAAACCTGATTTTCACAAAGCACCTGTAGAGTTTATTTGAGAAGGCTTACATGGAAACACTATGAACCAAGCTGAAAATTACCTGGAAAACTATAAACAAAGACTACGAATGTACCTATGGAACAGCTCCTTCAGGAGGATATTTTGTATTCCTGAACGTACCCCAAACTCATCACTGACATTTGTGAGTTACCCTCTGGGGGGCTCGCACCCAATCCTGGAGATGTGATGGATTTTCATCCCACTCGTTGTCTGTGAATCTTATTGTGAGGCAGCTGCTGAGGCACCCTGTCGGGGTGTCAGGAGGGGTTAGGAACAGGACTCTCCTGTGTGTTCCTTAGTGAATGGAAATAGGCTGTGGCTTCCTAAGGAGCCGGGGGCCAGGTGTGAAGTTTGAGAAGCTATTCAAAAGCATTGCCGTCAAAGAGGAGCTTCGGGTCTGATCTCTGGCACAAAAGTAGCATTTATGTACTGCTCCTAAATTTAAAGAACTATACAAAAGCTTGATCTCTTTCTGGTTTTTTTTTTTCTCTCTCCTCCCCCCCCCCACCTCTTTATTTTTTAGTGAAACTGCATTAGTAAGTCACTAGGATTTTTATTTCATTTCCATGGGTTTATCAATAGTTTGGAGTCAGTGGGAAGGCAGTTTATTTTCTTAAAGATTTTAAGAACCAGAGTGTAAGCTGCAGTGGCTCTTGGACATTCACTCTGCTGCAAAAGAACCTCATTCATGTAGTTCATTATAGAGATTTTTTTTCTTCCCTGTCAACTCTGTGCAGAAGGAATTCTTGCTGAATAGTCCACAATGGTCACCCTGCAATGCCTCTACTTAATGAGCTACTTCTCACAGAAATAGATTTCAGAATAACTGGGCACAGATGTGTAGGTATCTGGGTGGTTGGTGTTTTATTTGGTTTGGGTTGGGTTTTTTGTTTGTTTAGTTTTTTGTTTGTTTGGTGGATTTTTTTCTGTTTTTTTTTTCCTCTGAAAATGATTGTCAGTCTTCATTTTCATTTCAGCTTTCAAGCCTGTTGAAACAGCAGCATTCCTGTCATTGCAAACGTTATTCAGCCGTGTGAACTGTGACTCATTCTGAAAGATTAGACGAATTTCCCTCCCTGGTGTGCACCTATCCTCCTGCTGTTTGCTGTTTGCAGGCTGCCTGCTGCAAGCAGAGGTCAGGGGGACGTGCAGCTGCAGAGCTGGCTTGCTAGCTTGCTTCCAGGCTCATGCTGTGCAGAGTATAGGAGTCCAAGTTTGCTGCAGGCAGGAATTTTCAGGGTGAGAAATGCTACTTTTGTCTGCTCCTGGGGGAGAAAAAAAATTCTCAATATCCTTTTCAGCATCTCTTTACTGTAAAAAAAAAAATCAAGCAAAACAACCCCCAAAAACTTAAAAAAAAACCCCACAAAAAACCACAAAAACAACTCAAACAACCCCAAACCCACAATAAATCTGAAAAATAACCCCTAAAGGATCAGCAAACCTTGTACAGACCCCCTAGCTCACGTTCACTGTAGGCTATGTTTACTTAGGCTGCGAAGATATCAATTCATGATACCAACTCAAGGCAAATGCCATCTGGTCTGGTGGTGCTCTTTAATCATCTTTTCTAATTTTACCTTCTCTTTCCTACATTCCTCTCTGGCATCAGAGGATCCCTGCTGTCACTCTGCTGGCTCTTCTCCTGGTGCCACAGACCAGTCCTGTCTGGGGGCTCAGTGCCCCACCTCACCTGTCTGCCTCCATCCTCTGCAGCTAATTGCTCTCTCCTACATGTTTTCCAGGGCTTTGTCTGAAATTAAGTCCTGTGGGAATCCCGAGTGGGGTTTCTGATTGTATTTTATTGAATGCAAACGTGAGTCTTTGAGGGAGAAACCCCATCCTGTCCATTATGGAGCTCAGTTAATTGAGGATGATTACAGGGAAGCTTGATAGTACCTGCCCAACCATAGAAGTGAGTTATGGCGCCTGAAGATGAAAGGCCATGAGGAATCAATTTTGATTTAGTACAGCTTATCACCATGCTTGTATTTTTATCTACTTGAGGGCAAGAGATGACAAATCTAAACTTCCCAGCATGACAGCGGGCAGAACTGGGAGAAGGTGGTGCAGGTGGGAGCACAGAGCCCTGTTGCTCTGCAAGCACGTGTCTTAAAGGTCTTTTCTGTCCATGTGGGAAGTGTTTCTGGAAAAGCTGACAAGGTTCTGAGCTGAGGGAGCACAGAAAGCACCCACCAAAGCTACTTCCTAGGGGCTATGTAAATGAGGAGTGGTAGGACTTCAGGCAGCCACGCTTACATTTTTTCAAGGAATTCTGGTAAATCTGTCAGGCAAATGTGGGAGAGGAAGAGAACTTTTCTCAAAGCCCACAAGATGATTGTTTTTTCAGTAAAATCTAGATTTTAAAAAAGAAAACAGGTTGCTTGCAGAGGTTTCCTTTGGTGATTAGTGTTTGCAATCCAAGTTCTTTCAGTGGACATTCATACCTGATAGATAGGAAATTAAAATGATATCACTGTTTTCAGATATATTCCTGCAGGATTTGATTATTTAGATCTTGGTTTTCTTCATGCATTTCTCACAGCTTACTCGGATGTCCTAGAATAACTGGGTTACACATGTATCCTGGATGAGGAGCACTTTCTTCTTGAATTAACTACATCTGCTTTCAAAGCTCATCATTATGAATCACAGTTAGATGCTTTTTCGCTGTAGTTGAAACTCTGCTTTGTTCTGAAATGTTTTTCATGTGTAGACAAGCCCCCAGGAATCTCTTTTAGTTTGAAATGAAATCTCCTTAGTTTATTTGCCCATATAATTTATGCTTGCATTGCATTTAAGATGTTTTTTTTTTGCTTTGTTTTACAGACTGTAAGATGGCACATTGAACTACAACCATGGGCAAGTCCAACCCCTTCCCTCAACTATGAGGCCTCAAGGTTTCTAAAGTACATTAGCACTTCTCAGGTAGGTTTTTTGTTTCAGTCTCCATTTAGAAAACACTTTGCCTGGCACAGATTTTTCCCTCGTATCTAAGGAATTAACCTCACAACAAACTTTTTGAAACTGATTGATTTCTAAAGTTGCTTAACCTAGCACTGATGGTCAACATAAATATAAAGGTCAAAATACATATTTGAAAGAATGCTTTATTTCCATGTTATTTATTTCCAAATGGGTTTGTGTCCTGACAGGAGTATGGTATGACTGAAATTCTAGATGTGATGTTTCTTTCTCTCCCCTCTCTGCCTCTCAGATGGAAAAATACAGAGCGCTCTGTATCAAGAGAGTGTATTCAACCTCTCCACCTCTCAATAATAATATGATAACCAGGTTCATTTTACTTCAAAAGGAGGCAGTTGAGGTTCCCAGTAAAATGAGAACAAGGCATCAGACCCTAACTCGGACAAGTTTTTTCAATGATACCAATAGAATCTTGATATTTTCAGGACAAAAACAATGGACGTGGAAATTAGTGGGTTTATGTTCTTTTTAAAATGGCATTTCCACATCCAATATTGTGTTGATGGATATTTGCAGCCTTCAGCATACATGGAAATTAATGGGCCATCATGTCTTAACAGAGGCATCACTTACTCACAACAGCATTTGTGTGTGCATTTCCTGTAAGAAAAAAATGGAAAAGGTGCTGGATGCTCACAATTCCAACAGAGCAGCTGCTTTTGGTACCCAGGTTTATCAGCAATTGACCCTTGAATACAGAGTTGACAGCATCATTACTTACTCTGAAGAACAGCAAAAAACCCCAGGTGCCAACATCATTGAAATGTCATTCATGTATTAAATTCTTTATTAATGCAGTGCTTTTGAGGCTGAGATAATTTGAAATACCTCTAAAAAAGAGAATAGCAGGGTGTTCATGTATTCTCCAGCATGTGGGTACCTGTGGCTAAATTCTCAGTAAAATGACATCTCTGCTGCCACTCATGCCAGCACTGAGAGGGCAGGAGGCAAGATAATGCATGAGGGACAGCAAGAGATGTGTGTAGAGCTGCTTGTTTTGTTGTACAGAAGTTTAGACTGCGGCAGACATATTAAGTTTGAAAACATCCTTCATCTCAGCGACTTAATAAACAGTGGCAGATGATGCTAAACTCCACTAGTTGGGTCAAAGCCTACAAGGACATCAATTAACAGAGAGTTTATTGCTTTTGACACACTCAGCGAGAAGTTCTATTCCCAGAGTAACTGACCCTAGTTGGGGGAATAAGCATAAGTGGAAAAAAAAAAAAATGCGATGAATCCCTGTTCCTGGCCTGGCAGATGTTACAAGATGAATAACTGATGGGATAACATCATGACTGGTAGGGCACTTCTGAAATGGCAGCCTGCTTACGTAGATAAGCATGGGATGTCATTTTTCTTGTTTGCTGAGCAAGTGTCTACTAATTACTGTGCCAAAGTTCAGCCTCATGCCATTAGTGTAGAATGGCTCAAACTGCTGGAGCAGGAAGGTGCCATGTCAGCTAGGTCAAGGTGTGTGGCCAGCAAAAGCATTTTCAGTGCTGGTATTTCATGATCAGGAGAAGCATCTTTCTTGTTCTGTTGTTTGACAGGAGTGAGCAGAAACCCAGAACAGGATGTGAGCTCAGTGCATCAATAAATCATGTAACAGACTGATGATGGTGCTAAAGGCAGATTCAGGGTTTGATTTTTCTTTGTTTTTTTAAAAAAATAAATTGCTGTTGTTGTTTTATAGGGGTTTTTTTGGTTTTTTTTTGTTTGGTTTTTTTTTTTTTTTTTTGATAGCAAGAGCTATTCAGTAGCAAGAGCTGTTAAAATTGCTTCAAACTCTGACTGTTGTAATTGCTCATAATGCCATGAGTCAATTAAGTGGCAGCATTGCAGAATCTTAGTTTTCTGTAGAGAATACATTATTCTTCTGTGTCTTAAATTAGTGCTTATTATTGCAGTACCATTTATTTCTTGATTGTTATGTGACTGAAGGGAAATGGGTGTGGGGTGCAGTGCAAATCATTGCCTAAAACTTAGTGAATCCTGGGAACAGTGTGAAGAGATGCTATATTTGCTTTTATGAATTTTCCGTGGGAATTATGCACCAAGCAGGAGCAGGGAGGCGGTGATGCAGCGTGCAGCTCTTTGAATGTAAAACTGCAGGTAATGATCTTTTAGAGCATACACTTCTTAAAGAATTAGAGTTTTATTTACTTATTATAAGGTATGTGGTGAAGAGTGCTACATTAAAGGCTGGGTTCCAGGTTTTGCTCTCACTTCTTGTGTAAAATTGTTTCATTTCTGTGGTTCCAGGTGGGACTAGAGCTGTGCTTCTTAGTTTGGCTAAGACTGAGAACTGAGCCTCTGCAGTCTGCTGTAGGAGAAGGAAAGGAGCAAGATGAGAACAGTCTGTTCAGGACTGATATTTAACCTGGTTTTGTCCTTTCCACCATTTTAGTTGTTACCTTTCTGACACTGCCAGCTCCCATTCCTGCAGCCAGGGCTGGTACTGGGCCCAAAGAACAACTTTTCATCACATAGACTCAGCTGTGTTCCTGCAGCTCTTCTCAGTCTTTGCTTTCTTATCTGTGTGGTAGCAACCTGTGCCTTGCAACCCCTGATTGATGGCTGGGCTGCATGGTTTGAGAAGCCCTTCAAGAACAAACTGTGGATGCTGGTGAACAGCAATGCAGCCTTTCCTGAGCAGAAGCAGCCACAGATTTGGTGCTTTCTTCTGCTTCCCCTTGCCTCCTTGCCACTGCTGTGGTGAGAGCCATACGAATTGTACCAGCTCTTCATCGACTGCTGTGCTCTGGCTCCTGTGTTCTGCAAAGGGTGCAGCACTCACCAGCTCTGTGCCTGCCTTTCCCAGAGTGGATTTAGAGGAAGAAGGTGGAGTGGAATGTGGTGTTCTGGGGGTGAAACTCTGGCCTGAGCTGCTGGATGGACAGGCAGAGCTGGTGCTGCAGGCAGGGGCTCCTCTGCAGGGTGTCACTCACAGGGCCATGGCTTTGCTGGCTCAGTCACTGTGAGTTTGGCTGTTCCAGGCTGCTGCTCAGCTGCTGGCAAAGCTGACTTCACCCCTCAGTGAATTCTGACATGTCCAGGTTTCTGATGAAGCCAGTGCATTTTCAGTCTTTGCTTTCTTGGTCTGTACAAGGGCTTTGACTCACAGTGTTCCTCCCTGCAGGGTCTCTATCTCTTCTTTTGCAGGGTTTTTATTCTGGCTTTAGACCCTAGATGTACGAGTCAGCTCAGCATAGACACACATGCTATGATTCCTCTGTTTAGTTACACACTTGCTTAAATCCCTTTGTTGTTGGACAGGGCGTGTGTTTGGGGTAAAGATTAAATCCCTTTTAGAGCTGAGATCCAGGATATTCTGGGTAACATACTTGTTGCAGAGATACTGCAACTTTGTAATTACAGTCTTGATTTTAACATTATTCAGGATGCAGAATCCGCTCCAAATTTTGAAAAGAAAAGAAAATTAAACATTTGAATGCTGAAACATCATTTCCTCATGGAAAAAAGAGAATTTGGGTATAGTACTAATGTTTAATTATTTTCTTTTCAAGCTGCATTGCTCTCTGGGAGTTATGTAAGCCTTAAATTTCACTAAGTGGAACAGACAAACAAGGAAAATAATTAGTAGTCATGTATCAAATTGAAAATAAGACTTAAAGAAATTAACATTTTCCCTTTTTCCACTTCTCCCCCAGAAGGCAAATTAAAAACAAGTTAAAAGTCCTGTCTTAAAATGAAATATCCTTTGATTTCAACAGATTTCATGTGAACACATGAACACAAACAGCTTGAAAGAGTACTCTGAAACCACAAAAAAGCCCTGGTCAGTCTGTCTTGATGAGAGGTTTAGCCTCATCCATCGAATCAGAAGCAAGAAATGCCGTCTCTATTCACTTGGGTAAGTGCTCACTTTAAAAGAAAGGAAATTGTTTCATGGCAAGTAGCTTCAATAAGCCATATAAATACAACACAGGCTGCAGCAAGGTTATCTTATAAAATATAAACTTCGTTCAGGTGTGTTTATCATATGTTGATGTGCTTCTGTAAACTTTATTTTTAGGTAAAAAACCTTTCTCCATTAGGGTCTTTATTTTCCTTTGCCTTTCTAATACTGGTATGAAAGCAAATTGCTTGCTGGTGAGTTGTGAGTGGTAGTTCATGTAGAAGAAGACAGAAACCAAAGAGGTAATCTGAGAAGCCTACAGCATCTGCCTTGAGCAGGGGTGACTTGCATAACTGCCAGGGATTTCAGCAGCATTGCTTACAAAACTTCATTAACCAGCTCTGGGACAAAACAGTACATTTCCATATGAGAGTGTCACCCCTGATCTTGACACTTCAGGGGTGACATGTGCCAAAGTGATAGTGATAAAGACAGCTGTGGCTTTACTTTGAAATGTTTGCAGTGTTTATGATGTTTACAGCCCTTGAGAATGAAGTTTTCACTCTTCACAGAACAAGTGCTTTTATAGGTAGCAAAACCACACATTGCAGCCTGTTTCCCTGCTTGTAAAGCATTCTGATATCCAGGAGGACAAGGGAGGTCAGTCCTCAGAGTGCATCAGGCCATCAGCACACAGATGCATTAGGTGAACAGTCGCTGGGATCTGGAGCTCATTTCACACAGATCACCACGTAGAGCTGCCTAATAAAACAGTACTTGCTGTCCTGAAAGGCAGCTTTAGGTCAGAGGCATATTGAAAGGCTTCATCTCCCTTGAAGCAGTGCAGTTTATTCCTGTGATTTTGCTGCTGTGGATTTACAAAGGGTGAATAGCAAGGAACCGTGCCAGGGTGGCATTTCTCACAGCAGGTAACACCTGCAGTGGGTGTAGAGGGGAAGCAGGGTGTCCTCTAGTCAAAGGGAGTGGTTTTGGTTAATTTGGGTGGGTTTATACATTGATTGAGTTTATTTGAGCTGTAAAGACCCAGATCCTCTGAGACGGAGGTGCTCTCAGGTTTTGTTCAGCACCACTGCTCTGTGGCAGAACAAGAACATGCCCCTTAGAGACAAATCACATACACAGAGAGAAGATTTCTCTTGACTACTGTTGCTTCTTATTTTCTGAGTGTTCTTTGCAATATATTTCAAATTATACTTACCTGGCATTGATGCAAGATAGAGGTTTACAAGATTTTTTTCCTTCTCAGTTTTTCATGTTCCTATAAAAGTTAGGAGAGATGCTGCGCATGCTCCATTCCAGGCTTTACTGTCTGACTCTAGCACTGAGTTATTGCCTGAGGGCCTTTCTAGTAGTCAGTAGGGAGAGGCAAGCACATTCAGGTGGAAAATCAGCTAAGCTAAATAGCATTCTGGAGGTAGGTACAGCTCTCCTTTGATTATAGTGGAAGTCTGGGATAAGGTGGCTGCCGATTTTAGATGTCTTGGCAAAGTACTCAAAGTTCAGTGGAATTAACCTAGACCTTCAAGCTGCATGATCATTTATATAAGACCTGAGCTCCTATGTTCATGTCCTTTTAACCTATTCTTAAGGATGAAATGAGGATTGAGAATGGTATTTTTGTTGAATTGTCCATCAGGCACAATGCAGAGTTGATTTAATCTGTGCTAGGAAGTGCAAATTAGGCACAGAGCTGACCAACAATGAGATATTTTGCTTATGGTTTTGAAGAGAACTGAGCTAGTGTGTGCATACCACTGCTTTATATGTGGTACTGTTCTGTGTATGGTCACGGGAGCATGAGTGCCAGATCTTCGGTAGTGATGGAACACTAGGGTTTAGCAGAGATCAAAATTGGTGTTGGCTTCCCATCAGTCAGATACACATGCAGTAAGTAAGCAACCAGGATGCATCACATGAAACACCTAAAATATTAAAGGGAAATACTTGAGGTTACGGAGAAGCAGTCTTAAATCCACCAGTTTACTTTTGCAAACTTTGGAGCTCGTTACTGCATAATTCTTCCCCTCAGACTCACTTCCTTTAGTTTATGACAGACAGAAAAGTAATTTTGTTCTAAGGCAAAAATCCCCTTTAAACATTTTTGTTATCTCATATGCTTCATAAAGAGCAAATGGGGAGCAGCTGCTTTTAATGAAGAGCATTCACTGCAGAGAGGATGGATGGAGGACAAACGTGAAAGTTCAGTGGGAATGTTACTGGGAATCCTGAATTAAGTCCATATATTGTTAAAACTGGAATAAAACATGCTTTGCCTCCTTGAATGCTATAGAAGAGGTTACTTGTGAATGGGAGCAAGCAGTCTAGAACATCTGGGGATCTTTTTAGATCAGTATTAGTTGCTTCCACTACTGGGAGGCAGCAATGTTTTTGCTTGAGGGATAGGATTTCCCGGTGTGATACATAATTGCAATATGCATTAGTGAGCTCTAGTTATTAGAGCTAAATCTGCTTAGATTAAACTAAGTCAGTTACAAACACCACAGGCAGGCACTCAAGCTGGGATAACATAAATGAATGGGATTTCAGAAATTTACCAGCAGAGGTTTAAAGAGTCTTGCTGTAATACAGCATAAATGCCATTTCAGGTGCATCCTAAAGTGTATGTAGGAGCTTTAGGATTCACACTGGGGGTCCTTCGTTTTTTGCTGAGCTGCTGAGCTCAGTTATCTTCCTTTGAAAGAGAAGGGGATAAGGGGAAACAGAGAAAGGGAAAGCTGGACCTTAACTTGCATGTGTTTTTAGCTCTGTCCTGTGGTCGCTGTAGGAGCTGGAGTACCTGCAGTTTTCGGGCTGGATCAGCTACAGGTGTCCACTAGAGCCGCGCTGGAGCGGACAAAGCAGCTTTTGTGCCACTCGCCGCTCCCTGTGCCCCCGGCTGGTGCAGGGGCCGGTGCTGCATCCAGCGCAAGCTGCAGCCCAGTGTCTGTTCTGAGCGCAAGGCTGTGTGCCCCGTGAAGCCTGGGAGCAGGGAACAGCCGGGGACACGCTGCCCGCTGCGCTGCGCCGTGTCCCGGGGCAGCGCGGCTGCCCTGCCGCGGCGGGAGCGGAGCGCCGCCCGCAGCCGGGAGAGGCGGGCGCTGTGCGGGCTGCGGAATGCCCCTCTGCCCCACCGCAGGGCCCTGCGGGGACCTCTGGCACCCAGCTCCCTTCTCCCCCGCGGGAAAAATAGGGCAGCTTCCTCGGCAGCCTTTATTTTGCTGCTGATGGAGGCAGCAGCTGCTCTCTCCTGATGGTGAGGAAAGACCTCGCCAGTCTTCTGTGACCTCCACACAGTCCTTCTAAAATCATGATCCCTTTTTAAGTAAAACGTCTTTCTTTAAGTAACTAAATTTTTGTTAGGAGACCTAATTTTTTATTTTTCATGCTGCATTATCCCTTCTCATGATTGCATGTGGGCCAGGCATGTTTTGAATTATTTCCTTTGGAGAACACCTAATTTTCTCTCCTATGTATTTGGCTAGATCTCTCTTCAGGCGTAAATTTGATCTGTTAACTAGAGTGCCAGAAGATACATCATGTCCATCTTTACCCTCATCTGTATTTTTTTTTTCCTGCTTTCTGCTGCTGTGAAGCTCTGCTTGCAGTCCACATGATCAGCAAGCTGTTTGGAGGCAGCCTGAGGTTTGTCTGCACCAAAAGCATCTGGCCCTCTGCATTGTACCAGCTGGTATGGTTAGAAGTGTGTCATGGACACATGCGGCCATCAGTTGCTGGTGGGCTCATCACTAATGCTGTTACTGTCCCCAGCAATTCCCATGCTGTTCATTTTTAGCCAGCATCTCATTCCTAAGGGATTACACTGCTCTTTGTCCATCACTGTCCCTTCTGTAGAAAGCCACATGCAAACAAACATGTCGATTCACTTGGTTAACTTCTGAACTTTTTTCCTAATGTGTGTTGAATATATTAAAAGAAAACTCCTCTTTTTTCCTCCCACACAGCTGTATGAGTTGGAATCCTGTGAATTAGGGTTGTTCTTAAAAGCATGCTGAGCTATTTTTGCACACCCTGTCTCCTCCAATTTTCCCAGGGAAAGGGAGGATGGTTGAGGAGAAGACAGCATCCTAGGGTATTGTTACAGTGTGCTTAGCTAGTAACACAGCAAGTGTCTGTGTGGGTAACTTCCAAAACAAATGCTCTTCCACACATTGTTTCATGAGCTGAATTAGTTTTCTTTTACCTGTATGTCATCTGTGTAGATTATTTAGTGCTGACCTAACATTGTACCATAGTGTGTGACATGATTTAAAATGTGCCACGTTTCACACATTGATGTAAATTATTTCAGATCCACACCATTGGTTAGGATAACTGTGGTGTAATGCAGCAGGTGCTCTGTTAGTACATCTAAGAGTACTGCCCTCTCATGGTCTGTGCACAACAGATAAATGCTCTGCTGTTAACATGTAGTGAATAATCTCTGTTGTACAATTTGTAGTACAACTGATTTGGAAAAATCTTAATTCTCTTCTCAGCACTACATGTGTGTACATCAAACAGCTTAATTTTGTTTAAGTTTAATGTTTAGTGTATGATTTGAATCACATTTGCAGGAGTAGGATCTAAGAGAACATCCTGTTTTACAAAGTAGGGAAGGCCTGTGGTTCAGATGTGTGATTGCAGTGGTAAATACCAGGAGGTGGGAATATAGCACAGCCTTTTAAAACATAACTTCTCACAGAGGCAGGGATGAGACAATACTGCTATACAATGAGGCTATTAATTTTTCTTCTTTGGGATCTTCACCAAATTAGCAGCAATCTTTCTCTCAAGTTTATGTAACAACTCTGCTACTGTTTAAAATTGCTTATTTTTAAATATGCTATTTTAAATCTGTGTCTTCCTGGCCACAGAGAAGGAGAGGCATTTCGTTCTTGTGTCTTGTCCGTACTGATGGTCACTGTGGGTGATGTTTGTTACAAGGGACAGATGTGGCGTGACATATGCCAGATTTTTACAAAGTAGTATTGCATACATTTTAAATGTATTTTCTCTTCTGCTTACAGCTCGGTTATTGTAAGTTTGTGCAGCAGGGACTAAGGAAAGTATTGTAAACTTTTGAAGAAAAAAGTGAATTGAAAATAGAGAAATTTTCATAAACATAAAATATTAATATGAATGGTGACAGCACAAACATTCCAATGTGTAATTTACTTTTGTACAAATTTTTCTAATGTCTGAATTAAGGAAAATCTCTTTGGGAAGTTAGCAGCCTGGCTAAAAGTGGTTTACTTCTTGCCTAGAAAGTTCTAATATTGCATTGAGTTTGAATTTTCTTCAAGTTATGTTAATTCATCCTCAGGGCGTCCTACTCACTAATAGGTCTTTTTGCTGCATTAATAGTTGTTTGTTTGGTTTTTTTTTTAACATAGGTTAGGCAATGATGACAACCAGTTTGAGCTCAGCATGGCCAACAGTGGATGTGAGGTGCATCGCTTTGACCCCAGCATCAAGTCAGCACACATTCAGGAGGGCCGGCACCTCTGGTACCACCGCCTCTCCATTGACTGGAGGGATCCCAACCCAGCCATTGCAGCTCATAAACTTCACAGCAGCACTAAGAAGCTGGGCACGGTATTGAATGAATTTGGACACCAGAAGGTAAGGAAGAGCTTTGGTGTTATGTTCCTGACTGCAGGGTTAGGTGTTGGGAAATCTCCAGATCTCCCTTCTTGCTGCCTGAGGAGACCAAGCACTTTCCAAGACCCACTCCCAGTAGTGGATTTTTCTTCAGCAGTAATTGTAATGTGTTTCTTCTAGGGGTGCCTTTTCTGTCTTGCTTTCTCTGTGTGCTGATAACAGCCACAATGATTTTAAATCTCTAGCTGTATAGCAAATACATTCTTTCTCCTCCTCACCTCCTTTTCCCTTTAACTATCTGGTGACATTGGGTGCTAGCACAGTCCTGTGGAAGTCCCGGTCTTTGCCTGAGTATGAAAACTAAACAACTCACACAGACAAGTTTATAAAGAGAAAACAATATTTGTAACAGTAATTAGAAGAGAAGAGGTAATGGATGGTTTGTTTACATTTTCAAGGTCACTGTTCCTAATTACAGTCCTCAAAAACAAAAACATCCTGTTTTGAATTTGGCAGCAATCAGTGGGGTGTTTTTTAGCATTTCCAGTTTGTTTTTAAGGAACTATAAAGACATCAGGAATCTTCAAATCTCAAATAAATGTTGCCATAATACATTTCAGGAAGTTTTTAGGTTGCTTTTAAGAGAGTTTTTCCTTCAGAGGATATACAAACATGAATTCAAATGCTAATATACTTTATTGCCTGCAGCTAGTTCTGCTTGTCTTTGTTTTTCAAGAAATAGGCAGCCTGGGCTAAGGAGGGGCTCTTCTGTAAGATTTACAAAGCAAGCAGTGCAACGTTTTTTTTTGGTTTGTTATTTAAAAATGCAAGATGTCCTTTTTGGTTCACTTTTTACTTTTTAAAATTGTTTTCTTTTGGTTTAGCTCTACTGATTGGAACATTTTGTGGATAAGAGCAGAGAAAATGAGCCTTTTCCTTCTTTTTCCTAGTCATACTGTAACTGTACTAGGCTGTGCATTAGTGAAACATCTGGGGAGACAGAGATGGCTTTTCTTTGATGTGTGCTTTTGCATTGTTTTGATTTTAGAAGAATTAGTCACACAGCAAAAAACTAATGACCCAATCCAGAAAAAGTGTACAAGTCTTATGACCAGACCTGCTGAGGTCAGTGTCAGGTTATCATGGTAGAAGAGAGTGGTTGTAACACCTTCTGTGAATGAGAAGGATGTAGGGGTGAATTCTGAAAAAAGTGGGCTGGACGGCAGCCAAGGAACATAATGCACACATAACACATGCAGCCAGGCTTTCCTCTAGCTGTGTAGGTATAACATGGGATTTGGTTAAGTGTTTTGGTGCATTATGAACAGTGTATAAAGCCTCTTGCTCTGGTAGCATTTGAGGAGCTCCCCTGTGCAAAGCTATGGCTTAGTGAAGTCGGGACCTGACTTTCTCCCAGGGGGATAAAGGTGTTTCACACACTGTAACACCAGATTTTCTAGTGTTTTATACTTGTGAAATCCCTAAATGGTCTGACTGTCCTCACATTTTTCTGTTTAGGTTTTCTTTAACTTAGAAGGAAGGCAGCCTGAGAAGTTGTATATTGTGTAGAAACACCATTCTTCTAGTGAATATGAGCAGAATGTTCCCTCAACTGAATAAATACGTTAATTCAAAACAGTTTTACAGAGTATTTTCTGAATAACTTTTTTTCAATTAGAAAATTAAAACATGCTCTTCATCCCATTTTTAATTTAAAAAACCCTTCCGCCTACCCTCAACGTTGTTCTGTTCCCACTTCAAGGCAGGAATTCCAGGCAGCTGCATTTGAAGTTAATGCCTCATTTTATCCATGCTTTTATTCTTTGAGATTTGGGACTTGATCCAAGACCCTACAAGTGACCCTATTTCCACTGATGTTAGAAAATCAGGCTAAGGAAGACTGGACAGACAAGATCTCCTGGAGTTCTTGCTGTTGTAGTCTTGCGAACAGATCTTGCATTTTTGGGGTTTCGTGTGCAAGAAAATCAAAGAACTTGGATGGGCTCATTTGCATCCTGATTCAGATGAGAGCATGCCTGCTATTCTGCAGGCAATACTGGGACCTCATCCATACCAGAGAAACCCACCCTGATATTTTGGCAAGAAATACAAACACTTTTTGGAGTTAGAGTGTATGTGAGAAAAGATTAGAAGAACTTGATCTTTCTAACTGGTTATGTGGCAAAACAGCCCTCAGTTCTCTGAGGATTGTAAATAGCCTGGAGGCAGAGGACTTATCTAGTAATATATTAGGATGTGGCTGACAAAGGAAACATGTAGTCAGAGTATTTTTGGGAACCATTAGAGTGTGAAATCTCTTAAGCCCTGGAATAATCTCCAAAGGTTGTCATGGGAGCCTTATTTCCTGATATACAGATCTAAACTGAAAATTCACTGGTGTACCTTCTGAGAAGAGCAATATTTTATGAGCCACAGGAAGGCATAAAGATGTAAAAATTGATCTTGCTCATGTTCCCTTGTCATCCACCCCTCGCCCTCAACTTTTTTGCTGAACATGCACACTCTGTAGTGCACTCTTAATGAACAGTGGGAAAAAAAGGGAGAAAGCCACTGAGGGTCCACGATTCTTATGGCAGTGGAGTTCAGCTTTTTGAAAACTTTCACTTTCCTATTCTCTAACTACCTACAGGGATGAGGATGCTGCAGTGCTGGTGTTTTCCATGGAATAGTGATAGATGCATGGAGAAATTCCTTTCTAGAGAGTTGCTGGATAATTCAAGTCAGAAGGGACCTTGAATGGCTTGTGGCTCAGTCCTCTGCTCAAAGCAAGGCCAGCTGTGAAATCAGACAAGGTTGTTCAAGGCTTTATCCACTCTGGTCTTGACAAACACTGAATTTTCTCCACAGCAGAGACTTTCCAGATTCTCTGGGTCAGCTGTTTTCCTGCTGGATTGTTCTCTTCATGGAAATGTTTCTCCTTATATTCAGTCTGAACATCCCTGATTTCCATTCATGTCTGTTGGCTCTTGTCCTGCTTCTATGCACTGCTAACCCTTAACAAGAAATTTAAACCAAGCTATTAAGTGTACTCTGTATTCCAAAGACTGTGATGGGAAGCACAATTAAAAACCTTTGACAGAAAGGCCCTGAGCAGCAGAAAAAAAGCAAGAGTTCATTCTGTCCCAAATGGACAGTGGTCACACATGCAAATTCTTATTCCAGGAGTAGTTTTCCTCCCTCTGGAGCTCTGCAGGAAAAGTCTCTTGTTGTACCCTCAGTAAATGCTATGAGTTTGCATTCCTTGGCAGTATGGCTCACCAGTGGATGGAATTGTTTCTTGTAAAACAAATTAATCTGGAAAGGAGAATCTGAGAATGCTGAGTAAAACCCTAATTTAATCAGGAAGAGCTCATAGCTGTAACTTTCAGGGGAGCTGTGTTCAACTCCTGACATTCAAGTTATCTCAAACAAATTGTGTAAGAGACCAAACTGTGTCATTGTTTGTTACGAAAATAAATGCAAATCAATCCTTACATCTGATTTCTATTTGAAGGCTTTAATTTACACTCTCTCTTCATGAAGGTTTTTTTTTCTGTAGCAACTTGGGTGATTTTGCTTCATTTTATTGAATAGGCTTCAATTTAGGATTTCAAAAGGAAAGAACATTCCTTCACCTGTTATTTAATACTCAACACAACTTCAAAACACTATACCCTGAAGTAATTTTGATTAATAATATCATCTCCTCCTAGGCAAGTAGTTTATCACTTGCTCTTCTCCTCAAGTGGATACTATAGAATTTATTTCATGTTGCACTTTCAGCTTTCTGAAGGCTGATGTGAAAGGACAGTATTAAAGATTAACCATTTTTGCTTAAAATCAGCTCTGTTTGTAGTGCACAAATAGATATAAAATGAAAGTCCAGAGAAAATGTGTAACAGCTTAGATGTGCATGGTGATTTTATTAACAAAACAAAAAATAAACTCTTCAGATTGGGAAATGTCCATGTTCAAGTTCTGTAGCAATGAAATCTGTGTAATTACTCTTTACTATGCATAGCTTAGGGCTGTAGGGGCCAAAACAGGCTTTTGAATTCTTGATCCTGCCTAGACAAAATAATTTAACTTTGGTTATCCTTTGCAAGGCTAGACTTAGGTATTGCCCAGGGATCCTTGGGAGTTGCTTAGTGTGAGTTGCATTCAGTGAGGGGCTGCTCAGCCCTGGCTCAGTGTGTGGGTGCCACCAGTGTTTGCACACTCAGCTCGTCTTAACTGATGAGCAGGACCTCGGCACCAGCTGATGAGCACCTGCAGGCTGGTCCTGATCTGGAATCCTGAGATCAAGATGAGAAGCCAGAGCTCAGAAGCTCAGGAATCTTTCAGGGACATGAGTCCTTTTCTCTGGTGCTGCTGCAGCTGGGGAACAGCTCCCATCACCTTGCTGGAGTGGGGGCAACAAGTTCAGATCTGCTCTGCTACATGTGGCTTAGTGTCAGAAAGAACAAATGAGACCAGGTCTTTTGAATTGTTGCATCATAAATCCTGAAGTAAATGTTTGGAATTCTGAATTCTTGAAAGGGTTTAATTTTTTTCTTTGTTTTTTTATGCTTATTTGGGGCTTTTCCAAAATCTCAGTTCTAGAAGGGAAAAATCCACCCTTCATCTGATTTTTAGCCAAATTATTTTTACATCAAATTTTTCTTGTGCAATCAATGGTCTCTAAGCTTAAGTGGCCCTTTTTCTGCAGCTGTTATTTACCATCTATATATAGCAGTGAAGAACAGCCTTTGCTTTTGTCGGGTTATCATACTGGCCTTTCTAAGATTTCTCCAACATGAGAGATCCTGTATTTCCCGTAACATCTTATTTGTGTTGTGCTGCCCCTCCTGCAGCTGGAGCATCAGCAATCAGTACTATTCAGAAGTCTCAATGGTGTCTCTGCTAAGGCTCAGGCTGTGACTGCCTTCTTCCTGGAAATGTCCTGACTGCCCTTCCCTGGAAATGTCTGCACTTACTGCTTATTATCTTGTTTGCTTTTTTGTGACTCGTCAGGCCATCTC